TGGAGAAATTTTCCTCTTTGCCCCAGGGCATGCAGGACGGGCTTAACAAGCTGATGTCGTTGCTTGGCCCTGATGGCGCGCAACAACTAGTAGCACAAGGCCCGAGGCAATCGGCGCGCGTCTAGAGGCGTTTTTAAGTAACGAAAACGCACTGCTAGAACACCTGCAGTAGAAGATGTCTGTATCGTTTGCGTCTATGACGCCACCGTCGGTGACGGATGACTTCCCCCGTCTAAGCCGCTCATGGTGAGTGCTAAGGTCTTTCAGGGGAAGGATGGAAAAAATTTCCTTCTCTGAGCGAGAGAGGTCGTTTTGGCCATCGCATCTGCCATGCTCGAACCCGAGAAACAGCACGTGGCGCTAGTCATCTCCAAGCTCGGTGGTCGAGCGCAAGAATGGGCACTGACGTGCGGCACTTCGGTCGATGCTGCGTTTCCCTCCTGGGCGAAGCTGAAATTGCAGCTCTCACGAGTGTTCTCGCCGCTAAATCAGGCGTATCGCGTGCGATCGCGTTTCCTTGCCTCCCGGCAGGGCAACAAGGAATTTGTGGACTTTGTCCAAGAGATGCGAACTCTCATTGCCGGTATGGCAGCAAATCCCCTCCCGGAGGTGGTCACAGTGACCGTCTTTTTGGAAGGCCTTCGCACTGGCGTGGCCTGAATGAAAGTCTTCCGTGCGCATTCGTCTTCATTTAAAGAGGCGTTGAATGTGGTATTGAATGCCGTATTCAATTTCAAGTCGGTACGACTTGGTTGGAATGCACACTCCAACAGCTCGTCGAGCGGGCCTGATCCTATGAATCTCAACTATGCTGAAGACGAGGGAGCAGAGCTCTGAGCTACCGGGCAGAATACACATATTCGACGGTGGTTGTCTGTGGAGACATCCGTCACCTGCAGAAAGGTTGCCGCCTGCGCAAGGCGCATCAAGGTTCTTCGAACCATCGCCCCAGTTCCAACCAGTCTGGTTCGTCGCGGGGAAACGACACCACCCAGTAGGCGCAGAGCGACCTCCTGGAGAAGAACTGAGTTATGTTGAACCTCATGGAAGCATAGGTCAGCAGGGCTCAGCCCCGAAGCGCTCCGTGCTCTTGAACGCGGAACGTGTATGCATGCCGGGCTTGCTGGTCGTGGAAGCGACCGTAAAGGGCTTCGAGAAGCCATGGAGAATCCTCATCGATCCGGGGCTTCGGGCAATTATGCTCGACGCTCCACGATGGAAAGAAGTCAGCTGTATGCTGAGGTGCTGAAGCGCGGTTAGGTGACGTTGTCACTGTTCGCCTAGCTACGGGGACACGTGTCACGGTCCCGAAGGTCCCTGTGGACCTCGAGGTCAAGTTCCTTGACTTTGATAGCGTGGAACGCTGTCTAGTCTTAGAACAGAATGCAAGGTATTAACTCATCCTAGAAATGGCATGGTTGGAACACCATGAGCTATAAATTGATTGGAGGTCAAAGACCTTGGGCGCTACGCGCACGTCTCCTGGTGGAGCTTTGGCGAGTCATGAACCCATCTCTACTCGAAAAAAGGGCTATTGGCGAGAGTACTGGACAGAGACGGTCAACGTGCTGGACATTGAAATGTCCAAGTTGGTAGACACCAACGCTGTATCAGACAGGAGTTCAGAACGTGACTCGCGGGCTGATCGAGG